AGATGCTGTCTTTCTTCCATTGTGTGTTCTTGGCACCTTTGTCAAGTATCAAGTGGTTGAAATTGCATGTACTTAGGTTTGGATCTTCAATGATGTTCCATTGATCTATGTGCCTGTTTTTGCGTCAGTATCATCCTGTTTTTATGACTATGCTCTGTAGTGTACTTTGAGATCTGGTATAGTAATCCCTCCAGTGTTGCTCTTTATGCTCAGGGTCGCTTTGGCTATCCGGGATCTTTTGTGCCTCCATATGAATTTAAGGATGGATTTTTCTAATTCTTTGAAGTATGTCATGGGGATTTTGATTGGGATTGCATTGAATCTATATATTGCTTTTGGTAGGATGGTCATTTTCACAATATTAGTTCTTCCAATCCATGAACATGAGAGGTCCTTCCGTCTCCTGATGTCTTCCTCAATCTCTTTCTTTAACAATTTAAAATTTTCATTGTAGAGCTCTTTCGTGTCTTTGGTCAGATTTATTCCAAGATATTTTAACCTTTTTTTGCAGCAATTGTAAATGGGAACATTTCCCTGTATTCTTTCTCCAATTGCTTGTTATTGGTATATAGAAAGGCTACTGATTTTTGTAGATTGATTTTATAGCCTGCCAGTATACTGAAAGTTTTAATCAATTCTAGGAGTTTATTTTCCTGTTTTATTTAGCCTTGAGATGAGCTCAAAGTTAAAAGCATAACGACTTTTCAGCTCTTTGGTGAACCACATATTCTATTGTGGGCCATGTGTTTAGTTTTCTAAACATACCAGTATTCTCAGGCCTTTTGAGTGCCCAGGTTTCCTACAGAACCTCTCTTCAACTTTTCCTCTTAGTCTTCAGACTGTCCAGGCGGCTCCAGGCTTTTTATCTTGGCTGTATTTTAGAAAGTACTCGTTCTTCTCCTGGGAAAGAGGTCTACATTAGGTAAAGTAGAAATAAGTACCTGGCCTCAGTCTTTGAGGGAGCACCCTGACAAATGGAAGAGATGGCCAATAATTTGTGTGTCAGGCCTCTCTACTCCTGTACTGCAGAACTCACAGCCCACACTGGAAAGAGGGCTATGGCCCTCATAGCTACTGCTGAGTAGGAAGGATTGGATTGATGGCATCCTGCCATCTTGAACTTGTCTTTTCTTGGTTGTCGTGAACTTTTTTTTTAGCTGTTTTCTAGAGTATTGAGAAAGTTGCTTCTGAAAGACTTGACTTTCCCCATGTTTCTCTTAGAAGGGACAGAATTTGGAGCTCCCTGAGTCTCTCTTCTGTGGACATCATCCAGCCATCTTTGACTGTTCATTAGTTTTTGTCATTATTGTTTGGTTCTGCCTCCTTTCTGTTTTTTGGAAATATGATTTCTTTTTACCTGTTCCCTTTCAGTTCTACCTGGGACTAATAATAATTAGTTTATTTCTAGTCTTTATTTTTTTAAACTTAAAAAACTATCCCCTTTTTTTCCAGTTTGGAAGATACATTTCTAATGATTGAACTTGAATACCTAATTTAAAGTCAAAAGTTTTTTGGTGTCTCTGCTGCCCCCACACTTCAGGTGTTTAAATGTGATTACTCTTTCTTGTGTCCATGTTCATGTTAGCCAGGGTAACAGGTCTGTGGTTTTCTCTCCCAAAAGTAATCATTATTATTTCTGTGCACTTAAAGTTTGTTTGCATGTGTAAACTCATTGGCTCCATGCTTTCCTCGGTGTCCCTGCTTTATGCCAGAGTTACCCTCTTGGACTCCCTTTTCTTCTTCTCAAGTATGTGTTGAAATTCTTTCAGTGACGCTTTCTTAGTGGAAGCTCAGTCTTTGTTCACCAGAAAATGCTTTTTTATGATGCTTAGTTTTGCATGATAGTTTAGGCATGAATAAAATCTTGGTAAACTTGTTTTTTTAAACTTGAAGATATTCTTAATCTGCTCCATCTGTTAAAACTTTGAGGTTAGATGTTCTATATTCTTTCAAACATTTACCATTTCTTAATTCTCTCTCTCTCTCTCTCTCTCTCTCTCTCTCTCTCTCTCTCTCTCTCTCTCTGTCGAGAGAGGTCAAGAGAGAGGTCTGTGTGTGTGTGTCCATGCAGTATGTAGTTAGAGGACAGTTTGTAGAGTGAGATCTCTTCTTCTACCATGTGAGTCCTGGTATTGAGCTCAGTTATCAGGCTTATCAGAGAGTGCCTACATTCACTGAGCCATCTCACTGGTTCTCATTTGTTTTCTTCATGCTAGCATCCAGACTGGAAGGAAGATGTAATTTCGAAGCAGTTTAGTTTCCATTTTGTTTTTTATAGCTAAGGTTGTTGTGCACTTTTCCCAGTAGTTATTGGACATTTGTATTTCTTTTTTTTTTTTTTTGAGAACTTTCCTTTCTTTTCAGTTCACTAGCCCATTTATTGATTGGGCGATTTGGTTCTGTGTTTAATTTATACAGGTCTTTATATATCCTGGGTATTAGTTTTTAATCCCAGCACTCAGGAGGCAGTGGCAGGTGGATCTCTGTGACCTCAAGGGTAGCCTGATTTACTTAGTGAGTTCCAGGTTAGCCAGAGCTGCATAGTAAGACCCATGTGTTCTTGCATATTATTTATAATCTTGGTCATAATTTATATTATCTGTATTATTTTTGTATCTGGCCAATTTCTATATGTGCCTTATTTTATTGTTTCTACTTGTCGCCATGGGTCACATTTTCTTTCTTCTTAGTGTATGTTGTGATTTTGTGTGTGTGTGTGAGATTTGTTGTAGTTTAGACTGAAGTAATAGCAGTCATCTTTAGGAAAGTGCTCATTTATTCCTTCTATTCTTTAGGAGTTCACTTAGCTGATTGTGTTCGATAGTCTGTTCTTTGTGGTAGCTTTAGTTTAATTAGTTCATCACTTCTTTTCAGTATTTTGAGGGTATAATCTTTATTAGAGGTTAATTTCACAAGGAAATTTGAAGATTGATGAGGTACCATGTCTTTGTTCTTTACTCAAAAGGGTGCATGCTTTCCCTCCTGCTCTGTGGCTGGTTGCTGATTCTCCAACCAGAAGGACTGCTCACCTGCCCTGTCCTGCTTTCTGTGACTCAGGAAGCCTCTCTTCCCCTTTGACCTTCCCAAACTAGAGGGTACATGCATTCTACCCTATGAACCATTGGAATGTTTCCCCAGGGGTTCCCTCAGCTTTCCTGTGCCTTTCCAGTCTTCAGCACTTGAATGTCCTCATCACCTTAGAGGGACTTCTCTCAGTTCTCCTCTCCTTTCTACTGTGTTCCAGACTGTGCTTAGAGTGACTCCCCACGCTGCACAGCCTCTCTCCGCGTTCTCCTGTTCTTCTGCAGCCTTTAATGTGTTGTCCCTATAACTGATTAATACTTGTAGGATGCAGTTGATGGGTGGACATCAATTCTTCTACTGAGCCTTGTGATTATAGTGTGTCACTTTAGTCTGGAGTCTCAGGATTTATCAGGTTGCTCCTTGTCCCATCTAAGGAAGAGTCTTGACTCTGATTCCTCTGCCAAGCATCCAGGCTCATTTATGTACCCTCTGTCTTGCAAAAGTCTTGCTTCCTCCTGAAACTTTAGGCTTCTTTTCCTTAAATCTGCTTTTCAAAAAAAAAAAACCTGTGTTTTTGCAGCCTTTTTGGGTTATTTGGACGAGTATGAAAATGATTGTTATTTTGTGAACTTCTATATAATATATGAAGATTTTAAAATAACTTCCAGTGACACTGCTCACCTAGAGAATGTACCTCCCTCAACAGGGTGTTTCTTACACTGTTAACTACAATGAATGTTGTATTTTTGAAGTACTTCCTGAGTATCAGGAACCTAATGTATACTTAGTATACATCAATTTTTCTGATACCTTTGAACTTGAGAATAGGTATAATGTTCTTTCCCTTTCCTTTTTCCAGGTGAGACACTTAAGTAGGTACATTATGGTAGGTTATTGGAACTTTTGAACTCAAGAGTTGTTGTCCCACTTGGGGAATAGGCTTTGCAGTTTCACTTCCAAATTTGAGGCAGGTATACCCCGTGAAGGAGTAAAGCACATGAAGGAGTAAAACAAATAGAATACAGGAAAAATAACAAAGCTGGCAGCATGATGGATGACAGCACAGCCAGAGGCTGGCATGAAGTGAAGAGTGTTTAGGTGTGTAGTAAAACTGCTGATATAGACTACATTTGAAGCTGATTTGCTTCCAGCTGTGGCTGTTTGTTGCCCCTGTGAGAATGTGGGCCCAGGATTGTCAGTTTTCTGGCTTTTCAATGGGAACTAGAAATTTCCTTAGAATATTTTGTTTATTATTTTTATTTTATGTGTATGAGTGTTATGCCTGCATGTAGGTAAGTGCACCTGTGTCATGCAATGCCCGCGGAGGACAGAAGAGGCTGTCGGATCCCCTGGAACTGGAGTTATGGACAGTTGTTAGCTGCCATGTGGGTGCTTGGATTCGAACTTGGGTCTTCTGCAAGAACAGTCAGTGTTCTTAACTGCTGAGCCATCTCTCCAGCCTGGGAATTAGAAATTTCTATTTTTGTTTTCATGTCCTCTCAGCTTCTACGTGTTGGCTGCTTCTTCAAATAAAAATTAAATAAAATACAATGTGCAGATTCAAATGGTAAGTCTGAAATTAAACATGGTGTAGGCTCTACTTGTTCTCTGGGCAGCCAGTTTGCTTTCCCTATAGTAGTCTGATCTCTTTTATGCCATTGCCATGCCTTGTCTCCCTGCCTAGTTTAGTGCCTTTGTGTGTGCTGAATAAGGAAATAACCTGTTCTTGAGTGAAAGTGTTCTACCTCCTGCTTTTATGCAGTTATGCCAGGCTAAGTAAAAGGTACAAGGAAAATTTATGAAAATGTTTCTTTTGCAATCAAGAATTCATCATTTATCTGCTTTAAGCAATAAACTTTTAATATAAGGCATGTATTACATTAACTTGATGTGAAGGTCTAGATATTACCAAATGCTTAGTTTATTCGTGTCATGAATCATGACTTTCTCTCTTGTCCCTTTCTCCTGTGACACAGCTTTCACTTTCAGAAGAACAGAATGAAGTAATGAAAAATGGCTGTGAATCTAAAGAGCTGGTCTACCTCGTGCAAATTGCCTGTCAGGTAATTGTGTGGGTGTATCTGGTACACTGCATTAGTAAGAATTTTCAGAGTGTTAATTAAATTCTCACTATAGTGTGTTTCTCACGTTGCTTAGACATTTGTATCTACAGAAAGATGCTTGAAATATAATTGAGCTATGATTAACTGTTTTAAAAACTTAAAATGGTATCTTTTTTTAAAAAAATAAGATCATACACTACATAATTGAGGTTACAATTTTGCATATCTTCTTTCAGTATTTTTTAGAATTCCTAAGGCTTTGGATACTGATGAGTAAGTAACAGTGACAGTGTTAACAGGTGCTTTTTAGTCTGTTTCCTGCCTTATTAGCATGCAGTAAGATTTGAAGCCATTTGTTTAAGTAAAATCAGTTTTAATATACAACCTTAAGTGAACATATTTCTTAAAAAAGAAAGTTGTCATTTGTTGACTGGATTAAAGAAGTGAGTTGTTGATCATATATTACAGTGAGAGAAGACCAGTTGTTTCTGCCTTTGTGGTATAACAGGTTGTGTACATGATTTTGCTACTTGATGTTTTTTGACTGTTCCTGTTAGAACTTTTTTGAGGATAGCCACCATGGCTTACTCCTAATGAGATTTAAAATATGCCATTGGGGGCGGGGCTGGAGAGATGGTTCAATGGTTAAGAGCAATGGCTGTTCTTGGAGAGGACCCAGATTTGATTCCCAGCACCCACATGGCAGCTAACAACTGTCTGTAACTCCAGTTCCAGGGGACCCAGTGCCCTCTCTGACCTCTGTGGGCATTGCAAGACACGGTTGCACTTTCAAACATGCAGGCAGTATACTTACACACGTTAAAAATAACAATAATAAAATTTTTGAAAAATTTATCTGGAAAAGTCTGATGGTTATATGAAGAATACATATCTTCTAAGTTCTGCTGATTTTAAGCTCACTTTTTAGAATTAGGTACCTTTATTTTTAGGTGTTAAAATGTGGTGCTGTATAGAGTTCAGCTTGTTTGTGAGTAAGATGTGTCCTGTGCCTGTCACCTCAGTTTCTTGGAGGGGCTGGGCAATTCTGAGTTGCTAAGTTTCATTTAACATTTCATAAAATGCTTCTGTTTGGAGACATAATTTTTTATTGTGAGATTTTAAGAAAGAGGTGAGACATGGAAATTTGCATTTGATGTGATTTGATGCAGTTAGCCTTCATGTGCTCCAAGAATGCAGGCATTTTAATTCTCATGAGGAAAACACAATGTTGATGCTGTTTTTTTGTTTTTTTGGTTTTTTTTTTTTTAAGTGACCTAAAGACAAGCATGGTATTTGGTGCCACACATTAGGATGCTAAATTATTCCTTGATTATGCTTTCATGGATTATTGACCTACATGTTAGGTGGTTTGCTGGTTGTAAATATTTTGTCAAGCTGCTTAAACAATTTCCAATCAGTTGTTACATTATTTATTACTCCGGAGTAATAATTTATACCTTGTGATGCTGCCATTGCAGCCTCTTTTCTGACTGGCTATGAGTAGTTATTAGTCTCCCTGTGGCTTAGCTCAGTATTCTTACCATATATGCCAGCTGTAAGCTGTATTAAATTAGAATCCTTTTCTAATAATTGAGGGACTCACTACTAAACCCTCTAATTTTACAAATGAGGAAACTGAGGTCCCCAGTACTAAAGTGGTTATCCCAAACTATGTGGAGTCTTAGTGGCTGGAGCTGCTAAGGAGTTGGTTTTCCAACTGCTATCTTTTCCTGTATCTGCTTGGAATTTTCAGTCTAGAACCAATATGAGAAATTAGTCTTCAGGTAAGATAAGATCACCATTACACACCATAATGCTTAGTTTTAATTGCCAACTCAACACAATCTAGAATCCCCTGGGAAAAGAATCTCAGCAAGGGATTGTTTAGATTAGGGAGTCTTGGTGGGTGTGTCAGTGGGAATTGTCTTGATTACATTTATTGATGTGAGAATACCCAGAGCACTGTGGGTAGCACCATTTCCTGGGTTTGGGTCCTGGTATGTGTGAGTGGAGAAAGTAAGTTGAGTTGGAGGCATGCATTCATTCTCTGCTCTTGGCTGTGGATATGATGTGACATGGAGTTTAAGTTCCTGCTGCCTTGACTTCCTGACACGATGGACTGAACCTGGTATTGTGAACTAAAATAAATCCTTTCTGCCCCAAGTTGCATTTTGTCAGGGTATTTTATCACAGCAACATAAGCAAAACCGTGACACACAGTGATGTTCATGTGTTTTATACTTCTGCTAACTTCTAGGTTTTAATAATGTCTTCTTTAAATTCTTTTTTATTCAATCCAAATTCTTGATCCTTCACCTTAATCCTCTCATTGTATTAGCTTAGAAGTTAACAAATTAAATGAATGAGTCTTTTTACTCCCCACCCCCCTTTCTTCTTTCGACATGGTCTCCCTGTAGCCCCAGCTCACCTGGAACTCACTATGTAGTCCAGGCTGGCCTCGAACTCACAGAGATCTGCCTGCCTTTGCCTCCTGAGTGCTGGGATTAAAGTTGTTCGCCACCACGCCAAGCTTGACGCTAATTTCTTTAGGTCTTATCTTTGAACTTTTAAATTATGTCTTTGCCACTTAAATATTTTTTCAATTATGAATCTAGAGAACTTTAAAGTGACAAATGTAGCTTATTTATTCTAATGTGTCCTAATGAAAATTCTATTTTTTTAATTAAAGGCTTTTTTGAAAGTTTCATACATGAGTACTGTATTTAAATCATTTCCACCCCTTCTTCTGTGGCTTCCAATTCCTCCATGTTCACATGTCTTCCCTCACTCCCTGTTAATTTCATGACCTCTTCTTTAACTGTTATTGTTAAACATGCACGCACACACACACACGACCTACTGAGTCCATTAACTGTTGCTCATACATACATGTTTAGGGCTGCACTTGAGATTGGATAATGTAACAGGGAACTCATCCCTGGAAAAAACTGATTCTCCTTCTCCAGCAGCCAATAATTGCTTATAGCCCATCATCTAGAAGTGGGACCTTGTGAAATTTTCCTTATTCACGTTGACATATAAACTGGAGATATAATTTTAGGCAACCATGTTGTCAAGATTTCATGGTGCAATTTCCCTGTCATGTCTGGCAGCAGGAGCCCTGCCTCTCTGGCTCTTAGAATCTTTCTGCCCCCTTTTCTGCAATGTTCCCTGAGTCTTATGTGAAGGTTGCATTTAAGATGTATCAGTTGGGGGTAGGCACCCCATGGGCTTCTTATGTTTTTGCATTTTAACCAGTTGTGGATCTCTGGATTCATCTCCATGTTTTGCAAAAAGAAGCTTCTTTGATGAGGAGTGAGAGCTACACTTAATCTGTGGGTATAAGGATAAGTATTTAAAATATAGTTAAGAGAAAACTGCAGTAGTAGGTTCTCCTCTAGGGTCTGTGATCTTTCCAGCCACAGGTATTTAGCTAGGTTTACACTACCAGGCATGGACTCTTTCCTTTTGAGTGGCCTTAAGTCCAGTTAGACAGCTGTTGGTTATCCCCAAGGTAAAAGTGTCACTGTTGCAGAAAATTCTGTTTTGATCTCTTTCTCCTGAAGTATAGTTTTGTTGGTAGAAGGATAATTGTGGTTTAACAAATATGTAATATTTTACCATCCTAGTAGATGATATTAATAATTCTTACTGAAAGATATTAACTACATTTTCATTTTAACAAAAATTGATTCAGATTCTCTATTTTTTTCTGAAGATCAAGTATTTTATGAATATTTACTCAAGGTTCCTTTGTATGACAGTAGTGGAGTAAACAGCTGATTGCAAGGAAATGTCTCCCTGCCTCAAAATATCTCCTGTACTCTGATATGCCCATGCTTGAAATTCTACCAGCAGAAATACATTCATTGGTATTAAATATCTCCTCAATTCAGTTCCTTTACTACAGCAGTGGGGTAAATATTGGTGTGTGAACAGAATATGTAGGCAGATTTCCAGCATTCTGATTAAAACTACATAAAACTTCTATGAAACTTAGATGTTTCAGTCCCATTTCACATATGAGTAAACTGTTGCTCATAGGCATTGAATAATTGTTCTACATTGAACATAGGTTCTGCGTTGAAGATAGAACAGGCTAAGATTTAAGTCAGAACTCCTTTTTTTCTCTTTTTTCTGAACTTCATAATAGATGAATCAGTTATTTTTCAAATTAACTTTCCCAAAACAAGAGAACCCCAAAGACATGGGCACTTGCACATATAAATTTACAACAGTGGTGACAGCATGCACAAGACCCATGCAATCTCAGTCAGACAAAAACCCAGCATAGAACTGGGGAAAGAAGCCCCAACTTTAGCTGGGGAATTATTGGCAGCTGATCACTGCTGGGTGAAGGAGAGTTGGTCTTCTTTAAAGGAGTGACATGAGGTAGACTGACCAGGCTCCAGTAAATGAACTCACCACTGAGGGATATCTGGGCACACAAACTTGACTCAGTAGGCCTTAACATATATGTCAGAACACATGAAATCTGGTGGGGGCGCTATGAAGGGGATGCAGATAGGGAGAAGGGGTCTAAATGTAATTAAGATGTATGAAATGCCCAAAAATTCAATTATATATATGTAAAGGGTAACTTAAAAAGATTACTGAGTTTTCACATCCTTAAATGGTAGTAATTACTTGTTAATGATGATTAAGATTAGAAATTAGTAGCAGATTACAGTTGTGTTAGAAGTATATGATGAAGAGTTTTGCTTCTTTTTGGGGATATTGTTCCAACATTATTGAACTAAAATATTCTGATCATTTGTTTAGTTTTCCTAGAAATTGGATGATTAATGATATATATATGTATATATTAATGATATATACACATACATATTTTTAAAATAGGGTATCCCTGTAGCCCCAGCTGGCTTGTAGACCAGGCTAGCCTCGATCATAGAGAGATCTGCCTGCCTCTTAATTCTGAGTGCTGGAATTAAAGGTGTTTGTCACCATGCATGGCTCAAGACTATATTTTTACATTTGAA